TGTGGCAAGCTGGTAAACCCTTTTTCTTTCTAACTTTTATGTATATCTAAAAGAATAATTAAGAATATTGCTTCTCATTTGGTAATTAGAGAATGCATCATAATTTAACATTCTGTTTTAGATTACAAGGGAATATAATGGAACAGAGTGCTTCAACACAAAAAAAAACTGCAACAAGTGCTGTTTACAGCACATGTCTTAATAATCCTTTAGGAATCAATCTTCTGTATGTTTACTGTTGTTACGTGCTGTCAAGTTGGCTCCAACTTAAGGTAATTTAAGAATGAAAGCATTCCAAAATGGCCCATTCATGACAGCCCTGCTTAACTCTTGTAAATGTATGGCTGTGCCTTCCTTTGTGGAGTCCATCTATCTCATATTTGGTCTTCCTATTCTTCTGCCTTGAACTTTCCCTAGCATGATTGTTTTCTCTAATGAATCTTACCTTTTCATGATTGTATCCAAGTATGACAGCCTCAATTTTGTTTGCTTCTAGGGAAAGATTTGATTTGATTTGATCCAGGACCGACTTGTTTATCTTTCTGTCAGTTCAGGGTATTTGCAAAGCTCCTGCACCATGTTTTGAATACACCTATTTTCTTCCTAGCAGCTTTCTTCACTGTCCAGCTTTCACACCTATGCATAGTGACTAGCAATACAATAAAGTGAATGATCTTGACCCAGTTTCCAGTAAAATTTCCTTATATTTGGATGATCTTTCTAGTTCCTTCATTGTTGTCTTTCAGGGTCTCAGTTTTCTTCGAATTTCTTGGCTGCAGCTTCCCTTTACATTGATGACTGAGCCAAGGTATACAAAATCTTTCACAAATACAATTTTTTCATCGTTTACAATAAAGTACTGTAATTCTTCTGTGGTCATGGTTTTTATTTTCTTAAAATTTATTTCCTTAAAATTTCTTAAAGTTCAGTCCTGTATTTGCCCTTTCTTTTTCCATTTTCATCAGGAGTTCTTTCAATTCATTGCTGCTTTCTGCCAGTAATATGGTATCATCTGCATAGATTAAATTATTGATGCTTTTTTCACTCCTTTTTCCTTTGATCCTTATCCAGGTGTCCTTTTGATACGTTCTGCATACAGATTGAACAGAAAAAATATATCCTTGTGTGATGCTTTTGCCTATAAGAAATCATTCTGTTTTTCCATATACTGTCCTAAAACTAGTTTCTTGTTCACAATACAAATTACGCATCAGGACAATCAAGTGTTGATACACACCCATTTCTTATACAACTATCCATAACTTTCCATGATCCACACATGGGAGTCACTCTTTGAATTGTTCCCCTGATTTGTTTCTTACTCCTACGCCAAGTTATCCTGTAGCAGGTGATTTTGCTTTGTTTCCTACTTTTGCATTCCAGTCACCTAAGATGTCCAACATGTCTTGTTTTGTAAGGTTATTAATTTCCTCTTAACATATACATAAAAGTTTTCAGTGTTTTCTAGTTCTGAATTGTTTTTGGAGCTTATACTTGAATGATAGCTAAGTTTGTAAGTGTCCCACAAATTCTAATTTATATTATTTAGTCAGACTTTGCATTAATAACCCATTACTATGTGAGCTAATTCTTGCCTCAGTATTAGAGTCACTCCATTTCTTCTGAGTTAGTCATTTCGAGAGTAAAACATTTTGGGTTTATCTGATATTTTTATATTTCCAATTTTTGATTTCTCAAAATGTTCCATTCCAGCCCATTTTAATTGTCTCACATCAAGTACTCCGATGTTTAACCAATCCTTTTCTTGTTTCCATTTGGCCTTGGTTCATACTTTTCATGTTCCACATTCCATTATGTGTTGTGCAGCATTGGTCTTACCTTTTGCCTCAGTGTATGCCTGCCACTAGATTTTGGCTTCACTCTAGTTGTGACGTTATTTGTACAGCTATTTGTACCTGCCCTATGGTCTTCCGCAGTAGCTCACTGAGTGCCTTCTAAGGGGGGGGGGTGAGGTGAGATGGGGAGGGAGAGGTTCTCATTTCCTGATAATATCTTTTGTTTCATCATAGAGTTTTCAATGAAAGAATATTCAGAAGTTTTACCATTGCCTTTTTCCCTTGAGTATTAACCAGAGTTAGTTTGAGTGTTACTGCCATTGTCTGAAAGGTCCTCTATCAATGAAAAAAAAAAATTAAAGTGCAATCCTTTTAAAAAGTATATCTTACAGATTTATAGTCACTTTGTGGGTGATATGTAAATCTAATAAATCTTGGTTTGCTTATAAAATTGTTACTAAATTGTATGTATTTAAACCCAAACCCAGTTAATTAATTTATAATTATTATCTGAATAAACTGTATCTGCAGACTTAATAAATGACATGTGACAGATTGTGGTACATCAAATTAGTATATAATTCATTTTGGGAACTTCCTCAAATGGTTGCTGAAGCATCCACATCATCGCAGAAGTTAGAAGAAGAGGCAGAGGAAGACTGTATACAATAAATGATCCTGTTTGTGAGGCATTAGAGTGGCATTTAGGGGAAACTGGTAGAAAGGAAAAACTATTGACAGTTTATTTAGCTAAATGATATCTGTTGGCAAGATCTATTACCCCTTTGGAATGGTAACCAAGTATGTTTGATATAAGAACTTTTATGCAATCTCAGTCTGGTATTTTACTCCCTTTTGTAAATCTCCTTTATAATATTTTAATCTTTGTTCATACTAAAAGGTTGCCTCTGGTGGTGGTGTTCCTATACCATAGAAGCAGGCTTTTGAGTTTCTTTTGTGTATAGGATTACTTTTTTTCCTTAAGAAATATAGGCAGAATAACCCACACATTGTTTTATCATGTAGCAGTAGTAGTCAGATAACATTCAGAATTCCCCTGCATGTGGGCTACATTCAGTAGTGCAACAGTATTTTTGTGAACTCTTCAGAGTACTTTGCCTGTTGGATGGTAGAAAAATATAACAAATACATTTAACCAGAAGCCCAGAAACATGTGATTATAAAATGAATAAAAAATGAATAGTCAAGAATGCACATTTTCTTGAAATACTATTATATGGTGTTGCCAGTCTCACTCTGGACTATCCCTAAATGTCTGTCAGTAAAATGTGCATTATATCAATAGCTTCAGTTATTGAGAAATAATCCTGATAATTTTACAGAGAAGATGAAGACACATTCCATTCCACCACCCTGAGACCATTGACTTCCACTTTTCCAGTTGGATTTGGTTGGGTTAGGTTGAGTTGGATTTAGGAGATTTCCAGAACTTGGTCATGCAACTCAGAGATTGCATCTTCTTTCAAGGTGCTGTAGTTTCCCTTACTCATATTCTGTGGGCCATTTCAGGACTGCGCAAGACCCTAGGGCTTAAAGGATCAGCTCTTGAGAACAGTTCTGTCTGGACAGTTATTACTATCCAGAACTCAAATAAGTAAAAGGATGTACTTTTGAAGTGGTAGTAGTAAATACAAGTGTGTTTTTACAGTAACAAAAGTAAAAATTAAATGGACTGTTCAGTTTCAATTTTAAAAAAAGTTGTATACATGTTTACAGCGGTACAGCTCTCTATGTTCCACAGTATTAAATATAGGACCATTTTGGTAGAAAGGCAGGTTACAAATAAAATAAATTAATAAATTCAGAACATCATTTTGTGCTAGAATAAATTATTTAAATCTTGCTTGCATATATTGCATATTTTCCCAGTTTATAATACTTTGCTAACCAAGTAAAAGGTCAGTTGTTCTATTGCCAATAAAATGAGTGCAAAATGTTCTTTTGGAGTGGAACACAGAGTAGTATGTGGGTCGTGGGAGAATGTTTTTTGGACAAGAGCTACACTGATAATCCTGATGCTTATTTTGTAATGAACCCAGAGCAGTAGATCTCTTACATACATGGACAAATGCTGGAAGTATTAATAATTTAAAACTAGCACTTCATGTCCTCCTTTTATTGCAGCCTGTGAAAATAAGTCAGGCTATGCTTCCTTATTCATTTCCCAGTTAATTATCCCTTGATCCTGTAAAAATAGTGAATGATGATGCCACATAATCATACAGTTGGACTGTGGATTAATTTCTATTTGAAAAGGCATTGCACATTTAAAAAACCTTACGTTTAGTTTTTATTTTTTAATATTTAATTTTAGATGCTAGTGAACATCCCACTGAAGAATTGGAAGTAAAGTGTCAATTGTCCCAGAGTATCAGCCATTTCTTGCTGTAGTTAATAGCTCATACAAGAGCTCTTGGCCCCTCCTGTCAGGGCTTTGGAAGCAAATGTAGAGCCTTTCCAGGCAGTTTGTTTGATAAATGCACACATTGTACAGGATATAAAGAGTCTTCTTCAAGTAGCAGTGACATATTTCAACAGAGTAAACGTCCTTCCTTTGAATTAGGTAATGACAATCACTCTGTAGTTACTTGAACATGATAAGAGTCCATCTACATAATTTTTTCTTTATTTTCAGTTTGGGTTTCAGTTTTTATTATATCTATCTCATGCTGTATTGGGGTGTTCAAGGATTTGCAGTTGAATACTTAGAATGTTTAGTTTTTGTTTTATGATTCCTACTGATTGAAGAAAGCAGCAGCTCCTTGCTGGAAAGCCAGCTAATTTTCAAGGTTTCCCTAGTTTAGCAACCATGCTGGGGGTTGAGCAAGGGAAACTGGGTTAGTCCTGAAAGAGAGCCTGACTGTGAGTATGAATCTGTTACATATAGGTGTGTGCAGTCTTGCATGCATCAACAACTGCGATTCCCTTCTTGGTGCCTGGTACAAAGTGTATTCTCTGGAAAGGCACTTCCATGACCAGAGTATTGTGAGTATGTATGATTGCTAAAACAATGTACACAAGTAATTGGAATTTTTCTAAAGGCAAAGTAGCTTTTGGTCTGAGAAAAAGTAATGATAATCTGTTTTTGATGTACTGTGACATGATTCTGCATGTTAATATATATATATAAGTACACAGTATAAGTTTGTAAGACTGATGCATGTTCTTTTTCTTCTTGGAAAGGCTCTTAGTGTTACTGAAACTCTAATCAAACCTCTGGAAAGGTTCAGAAAAGAACAACTTGGAGCTGTAAAGGTTTGTCATTAACTTTTACCTTTGTGGTTTCATTTGACTGGGTTCACATTACAACCCACTATGGGCAGCAAACCATGATAGATTTTCATGTTACCTGGACCTGGCATGATCTCTGCAGGGTGGCTTAACTTTCTTGAACAATCACCCTCAAAACCTATAGGTTGTTATAGGGTTGTGTCATTGAAATCTCAAAGAGTGATTTTATGATGGGTTGTTGTTGTTCCTGTTGCTGTTGTTGTTGTTATTATTACAGTACGTTTCTATGTCATCCATAGCCAATGGTTTCTGGGAAGTTCACAACATTTTAAGTCACTCATCCAGATTTTTCCCTGGCCCAGCCCTGCTTAACTTCCAAGATTAGGCAGGATCAGGCACTTCGGGCTATATGGGTTGCCAGGATGCATCTACAAAACTGCTTGACAAAAGCACTGAAAAAGCAGTCCCCCTAATGCCAATTCCCTTGCCAATCTTTGCCTCTTCATCGGTGCCCAAATGGGCATTTGGAAAGATCATCACCTGTTTGCCACTTAAAAAAAAATATTCTCAGTGCTTCAGAAATATGCAAATAAGTTTATCTTTTTAGTATTAATCTTTTCTCTCCCCTTTAGAGTGCAAATTAACTTTCTGATATATGTAGTCTTGTCTGATCAATATCTGTGTAAGTTGCAGTATTCAGATGGACTGCTAAAAGTGAGTACATGAGATAGAAAGAAATCGACAAGATAATAAAAGCTGCATATAGGCTAATTTTCACACTACCAGAGGATCAGGGAGAAAAAAGAAACAAAAAGGACCTAGTAGGGCAATTCAGCAACTCAGAAATTGGAGTGGGGGTGAACAGAGTAAGTGCTCTGAAAGGCAGGAGCACAGGACAATATCACCCCCTTGGCAGCGTAAAGCTTTTGCACTTAAGTGTTTAATGTATGCTTCTCAGTGCTATCCAACTGTTCAACACTTTCATATGTCTCCCAGCTACTTCAGAATTGAGATATTAGCTTATTCCATTTTACATCTTCTCTTCAGAACAGTTACTACCATTGTACAAATTTTACTTCTCAACCTTCACAATTGTGCAAACATTTCCTAGCAGTAAACAAACAAAAAACTTTAAAGGGTGGCTGAATAGGACAGAACAAATAGACATTCACTATGTGCCTTTTTAAGGGGTTTCTTTTAAACTGTAAGGGAATTTTGTGCGTGTCCATTGAAATGCAGTAACTATGGCAGTAACTGCTTCAAAAAGAAGGCACAAAAAGCATAGGAGAAATTAACAGTTCATTTTCTGCAGATTTTATAAAGTATTGAAAAGATGGAAGACACTGAGAAATGTTTAACACTTAAAAAGAAGAGGATTACATTGCCCAGTGAAAGATAATGCCCCTCATTTGGTGCACTTAACTTCATTCACACATACTCCTCAGTTTTCTGGGCTTCTGAATTACACTACTAGTTCTTTCTTTATGTTCTGAATACTTTGAACTCATGCACCAAATAGCTTGTATATAGTCCCATTTCATCAATTACCCTTTATGTTACCTGCTTCATTTCTGTACTCCCTGTGACAGCTGCATTATATAAGGGTATTGATCAGGCAAGACTAAGGCGTATTGGACAACCAAAAGTGCCCTTGTAAAGGAGGGGGAGAAAGAATAGAAAAACATTACAAACACGTTGCATAATCTCAAAGCATTGGAAAACAGATGGAGAACAAAATGGGGTAGTGATTGGAGAAGGTAAAAGAGATGAGTTCTGTTGCAGAGGTGCCTGGTATATCTGGTGGAAACAGCTGGATTACTGAGGAGGAAGAAAGGGCAAAACTAGCCATGCAAACCTTATCAACTGTCAAGTGCACTATGGGTTGCTCGGTGAACAACCAACACAATGTGCTTATTTGTTGTGAGCCGCCCCGAGGCTTCTGTGAATGGGGCAGCATAGAAGCTTCATTCATTCATTCATTCATTCATTCATAAATAAATAAATAAATAAGACATGCAAACCACCACAGGGCTTCATTCTGTCCCCCATGCTTTTCAACATCTACTTGAAACCATTAGGAGAGGTAATCAGGAGGTTTGGGCTGAATTGTCACCAGTATGCTGATGGCACTCAGCTCTACCTCTTGTTCTCATGAAACCCATGTGAGGAAGTGTCTGAGCTCGGTATTGAACTGGATGGGGGGCAATAACCTGAAGCTCACTCCAGACAAGATAGAGATACTGTTGGTGAGGAATCCATTTTCCAACTAGGGGATTTTCAGTCTGTCCTAGACTGGGTTGCACTTCCCCTAAAGGACAATACTTTTAGCCTTGGAGTGCTTCTGTATCCTGAGTTGTCACTTGTTGCTTAGGTACACTTGCTAGCCAGGAGTGGTTCTTACCAGCTTTGTTTGGTTTATCCCCTGCATCCCTACTTGTAGGAGCAGAGCCTTGCCACAGTTATCCATGCATGATAACCTCTCGTCTGAATTGCTGCAACATGCTCTACGCGGGGCTGCCTTTGAAACTGGTCCTGATGTTGCAACTTGTCTAAAATCAGGCAGCATGTCTGCTGATGAGAACTGGCACTTATGAGCATATTACACTGCTCTTGCGCAGACTGTGTTGGCTGCCAGTTGTCATCCAGGCCCAATTCAAAGTGTTTACAATAACAAGGCCCTAAATGGCTTGGGCCAGGTTATCTGAAGGAATGCCTGTGTCCATATGAGCCATCTTAATCACTGTGATCATCATCTGAGGCTCTTCTCTGTACTCCTCACAATGAAGTGAAAGTGGAGATGGAAAGAAAGAAGGCCTTTTCCATAATAGTATCCCAAGTGTGTTCAGTCCCACCAGAGATTAAGGTGTCATCCATTTATTCCTTTAGATGCCAACTAAAAATGTTCCTGTTTCACAATTATTTTGAAGGGTGAATTGGCCAGGTTTTAAAGGGTTTTTAATTGTTAACTGCTGCTGTCATACCACGATTTTACTGCCAGACATTCTATTTTATTTTCTTAGATTGTATTAATTAGTTTAATATATCATGTTTAAATTATCTGTCCCCTCTAATCTTATTTTATTTCACTTTATTTTGTTATTTATCTCTTCGGTTATTTTATTATATTAACTGATTTTATTGTTTTCATTGTGAATATTAATGTACTGTATTGTTTTATTTGATTTCATTTTCTGTGAGCTACCCAGATAACCTTATGGCTATTGGGTGACATACAAATCAAATCAATGAGTGAATGAATGAATGAAATCTGCATATGAAGCAGAGCACTTTTAAAATTGAGCAAATGGACAATTTTTACTTTTAAACCTTTTGCAGCTTTAATTCATTATGAAATATCTGCATATACTTGGTTAAAATCAGAAAGTACTAAGGAGGATTTCCAACCTTAACTTTTATCTCTATGACTTCCTGTTTCAGGCTGAAAATCACCTATATTACTAAAATATGAGCTCAGTTCAGCTTCCTTCAACCTAGTGTCCTTCACATGTTTTAGATCAACATTTCTGACCATTGCCCGTGTTGACTGGAACAAAGGAGAGTTGAACCCCTAAACATATGGGATGGGAACCAGGTTGAGGAAAGCTGATGTAGTTGATTAATCAGTTAAGATTTCAATCCTTAGATACAGTCAGGAGTAAGCTGTAGAGTGGGGCTTAATTCTGAATAAACATTCACAGTATTACAGTGTAAGAGTAATTTGGTTGATTTTAATAAAATTAATAAAGCAGTAGTTTGAGACACTCTCTTAAAATAAGCATTTCTTTTTCTCTTGCATAGCAAGAATGGCTCTGCTGTGATGCTATGAAACATGAACATCATTTAAAAATAGAAATGAGTTTTTTTTACCAAACTTTTTAAAATTCACTTGCACATGCATGTAGATGTATTTGATTAATCTCTTGAGTTTATTCAAGTATATGGCTTAAACTTATACAGGAAGTCTCTGTGTTACAAATGAGTTCAGTTCCTGAGAAAAGACATGTGTCTTTGACTTGTATGTAAGTCAGATCATGTATAGTTGGTCCTTCACATTCATGGAGCTTAGGGGCACAGGATCTCTGTGAAAGTGGAAAAACTGCACATACTTCTAGCACATATTTCTGCCAAAATTCTCCAGTGCCTCCTCTTTGTAGCAAAGAAATGCTGGAGAGATTTTTCCTCTCCAGATGGGTGGAGCAGGAAGGCATGTTTTGGAGGCCTCCCTCCAAATACAGATTGTTCATAACTTGGACGTTTGTAACTCAGAGACTACTTGTATGATTAAGTTTTCCTTAATGAATTGGCATTCTTAGAATGTAAAGTATGTGAACATCATATAGTTCATTAGTATGTACTTTTACCTTGTATCTTCAACATGTTGGAGTGAGATATCATAATTCTGATCTGCAAATACTGTAACCATTAAGATCACAAAAATAATCAAGAAAGTTTTGTGCATGTATGTGAGTGCACATACACACACACCTAGGTTTTGCTTTTAATACTGTATTAAAGTAATGACCAACACTTCAGAATTTTTACAGGGTTTCCATATGGAATGCAAAATGATCATGTATCCTATGCAAATACGAATGTCATGTGAGTAACATTCCATATTTAAGTATATTTATGCATGTAGAAATATGTATGCATATTTGTACATGTATATTTGTACACTTTTAGTATAAATGATATTGTAGGATTCTTTCTTGTGGAAAAGTTACAAAAACAATAATCATTTCCTCAAGAGAATAAAGTGGTTTGATAATATAGAAAGCTTCAGCTATTGGGTAGTGTAAAAATGTAATAAATAAATATAAAAGCAACTGTGTTGTAGTGTTTTGTTCTTATTTAAATGCTTGTCAATTTTTTAATCATAGGAAGAAAAGAAGAGGTTTGACAAAGAAACAGAAAAGAATTACAGTTTACTAGAGAAGCATTTAAATATGTCAGCTAAGAAGAAAGAAGCCCAACTATTGGAGGTATTGCATATATAATCTTGTCAGAGATACAGTGGTACCTTGGCTCACAAACACCTTGGTTCACAAACAGATTGGGTCACAAACAAACATTTCTGAAAAATTTTGACTTGGGTCACGAACACCGCTTTGGGTGGTGACCAAGATCTCAGCCATCTCCCCCCCCCCCAGTGGAGAGATGGCTGCAATCGCAGTTCTGTTCATGCAGGGAAGGTATGCGTAATCAGAGGCGCACAGCTGCAGGAAAGACGGGAGCAGCAAAGCAGAGCCACGGGGGAGATGGCTGAGATTCCGCCTGTCTTTCCTGCAGGAGCACGCCTCTGATCATGCACACCTTCCCTGCTTGAACGGAACTGCGATCATGGCCATCTCCCCCCCCCCCCCCGGGGGGGGGAGAGAGCCGAAGCGCAGTTTCTTCCGGGCGGGGGGGGGGGGGGGGTACGAGGGGGCCCTTCTGCCGCAAAAACGGGGCGAAACTTGGCCCTTCCCCCCCCCCCCCAACCAGCACAATTGCGGCCATCTCCCCACCCCCGAGTGGGGACATGGCTGCGATCATGCTGCAGGTGGAGGGGAGATGGCCGAGACTGTGCCCGTCTCTTCCTCCCCCAGTGTGCCGTTATCACACCTGTCTCTCTCCCCACCCCTCAGTGCGGCCGGATGATGGGCGCCTGCAGGGATGACAGGTGCGATCTCAGTTGTGCTGGGGTGGGCGGTGGGATGGCCGTGCTTGTGCTTGGGGTGGGGTGGGGGCGATGGCCGCGATATTTGTTGTCACTTTGCTTCACATTTTTCTGATTTAAAAGATGGTTACAGAATGGATTAACCTTATTTACATTGAACCTTATGGGGAAATTTAACTTGGCTCATGACCAATTTGGGTCATGACCAGAGTCCTGGAACGAATTAAGTTCACGAGCCAAGGTACCACTGTATTTAGGGTGCAATTCTACAGCCCCTAGATTGAGTCTAGATGGCCATAGGAGAGGTCAGAGTCCCATTTCCAACCTTGGAAATGTTCTTCAAGGTTGGAGATGGAACTTTGATCTTAGAGTACTATCCATCCACTGATGTGAAAAGAATGCTACCACCTGCAGCTGTGATGTCAGAAAACCAACCTCAGAACCATAGAAGAGGAGAAAGGAGAGGAGTAAGGATTCACCATGATATATGGCATCCTGGCTACATCTCAGCCTCTTCTTACACACGAAGGCAAAAAGACTTAGACTGTTGAAACAGCTGCCTTAGTTTTTTGCAGGGCAGGACAACTGCAAAGGTGACCTTTGCCTCTGCATTCCTTCCAGCCTCCACTGAATGCCTGTATTCCTTAGGGTTCAGAGTATTAAAAGCAACCAGACTAGTTTGTGCTTTTCCGCTGTTAAGGAAGAAAATATAAATATGATTTCATTAATGCCCTTCCTTTGAAATACAAAGTTGTCTTTTTTTCCTTTTAGGAGAAAAATAAATAGCCAAAACCAGACTGCTGGTGTGTAACACTATGTGTTTTATGTATCACAAAGACATTAAGCTTGTTAAGAGCATGCTTTTTAGCTGCATATTTAATATTTTTCTAATCAGACAATACACAGATGTACTAGGTATTTTATTTATATTTAATCCATTAAAAGTAGCTGTGAATGCAGTTAAAGCTGAGGTGCTAAAGCTTTCATGGCAGTTTCTGGTGGAATTTGAGCACAAATTATCTAACTGCAGAACAGGTAACTTTCCTGTTCATTTAGCTCAACTCATTAGATAACATATTAGTATTATTCATCTACTGTTTGATGAATTCATTAAATAAATAAATTGTTTTCTAATGCAAAGTTTAATCTAATGCACAATATGTAATGAATTGTGTGTCATTGGTAGAAATGTTTGGTTCACAAAATTAGATGTGCTTAAACCTGTTGAAACCATTTCATTTAGATGCATTCTGTTGCTTTCCTTATGATTTGTTTCTGCACCTCTCTGCATATGATCCATGAACCTTAAAGCAAAATTTTTGTTATTCAGGCAGACAGCCAAGTGGAACAAAACCGAAAACATTTCTATGAGCTGTCACTTGAATATGTGTGTAAGCTGCAAGAGATACAAGAACGAAAAAAATTTGAGTTCGTAGAGCCTGTAAGTAGAGCTTTATAAAATTTTCTCTAAAACAGGAGTGAAAATGCAACTAAATGTAGTAGAAAGTAAACAAGAAAATCAGCACAAAGTCCTATGTATGTGTGTTCTGCATCAGTGTATCTTCTTAATGCAATTTTTCACAATATGTGACACATTAAGTCCTCTCTTTGCATATATACTAAGCCATGTGGGATCTGCTTCTTTGTGGTGATAGTTCACATTATTTAAGATTTAAGTGGTTCATGGATCTGAATTTATTATCACAAATAAGTTTGAGTTTAAGTTGTATATGATGGAGGGCTAACATTTGAAGAAGCCAATCTGAAGCCTATTTGTTTCTTCTGCAAGTAAACCATTGGATTTAATACCTTATTCTAAGACATCTTTCTGAAGCTGGATGCGCTTCAAATATTCTTGACTACAACGCCCAGAATTCCTGACTATTGGCCAGTAATTACTAAACTATGTGGCTGGCACTGGTAGTTGATATCCATGGAGGTATTGGGTTGAAATACCTGGGGAAGGCTGCTCTCAGGTATTTAGATGTTTCTACATTATAAATATGAAATGTCTGTTTTGAGTAACAGAGCAATACTGTTCAGAATGAAGTTCCAATTGTTTTCAACGGAGCTTACTAGCAGGAAAAAATGCTTTTGACTGCAGCCTTAATTGATTTTAAAATATATGGCAAGGCAAAATTATTAAGAAATCACTGATTTACTGCCTGGGCTAACCCCCCCCCCCCCCCACCTTATTGTATTTTAGGTCCTCTCATTCTTTCAGGGCATGTTTACTTTCTACCATCAGGGCTATGAGCTTGCCAAAGATTTTAACCACTACAAAATGGTTCTGCAGATCAATATCCAGAATGTAAGTGAAGGTACTTTTTCAGTTGATGCTTTTTATTTTTTAGCTAGGATATGCTTTTATGCATACTATTGCAATTTTGAATATCTGTAATGTGAAGTGATCTTCTGGAGAAGTTTTGGGGAGGTAATGCCATCTTCAGGCTACTAGGCTCTATGACCTGTAAAGACTTCTATAGAGTAACCAAATGCAGCACTGCCACCTATTGCATATCTTAGATGAGAAAAAGGAAAGGAAATAATTTTGATTTTTTTAAAAACTTGAATACTGTGTACATACACCTAGTTTGTTTTTAAGAACATGCAGAAATGCAGTATGATATCCAACATGCACTTTTACTGGCAATTCTGTTTATGTATAGTGAAGTTGCTGCATGTGATAACGAAAACTTTGCATTTGATTAGGGATAAGAGGGATCCATTTTGTGGTGTATGAAAAACTGATGGATATTCCTGATTCAGGTCTCTGGATTCTGTTCAAGCCCAATGCTCTGCTGTAACATTTCCAAAACTGCAGTTAGATTTATATATTTAACTGTAGTTGGATTTATAAACATTTAACCCACCTGGAATTGACTCAATCTGACATGAGTCAGGTTGGTATGCAGATTTCTGCTTTTAAAACACAACCACAATTTGCAACATTTTTAAAAAGACAGCAGCAGGAAGTTTGCACAAATTGCAGAGTTCAAAATTTGTGCACATCTCAGAATTGTACTTTCTTAGGATTAACCTGACTTGAACTGGCCTCTCTACCCTCTCTGTTTTAGCCTTAAAGGAGTTTTTATAATCTCTTATCTAGACAAGAAATCGTTTTGAAGGGACAAGATCAGAAGTGGAAGACCTTATGAACAAAATCAAACAAAATCCCCAGGAACATAAAAGAACAAATCAGTTTACGAAGGAAGGCTACCTTTATGTGCAAGAGAAAAGTAAGATACTTGTTTGCTTTCCTGTTAAAATCTTTGTGCTATAAATACAGAGGTAGCTCACAGTTTATTAGGCAAAAAATATAGGATTATTTTTGTACTTAAACAGTGCTATGCTAATAAGCATGTACTGTGAGAATCACATGGATAACTGCAATTTTTTTCCTTTATGTCCATGTGCATTGGGTATAAAATCATCCGAGGTAAAGCTAACATGATTTGGTCCATACATTCCTTACTTAATTCTACAGACTGACTGTGTTCCTGCTTAATGGTCCTTGGTACTATTAGTGGACTAAAAATGTTTCAAGGATTTGGTATAATATTAGCTGTTTATAAACACTTTGAACATTCCAGGACAAATATTGAAAATATTGAACTAAAGTAATATTTTTTTCAAGAAAATACAATAAAAACAGGCACATAGAGTGAACAAGAAATAGAATTCCAGCCCCATACCCTGACTTAGCTTAGATGTGAAGTGCAAATGTTTGGGGCGAAATATTTAAAGGTATGAAAAGCGCAATGTAATCCTTTGCTATAAATCAAAGTGAGCACCTTGTTTCCCACAATGGACAGCATGTACACATGATGCTGACAGGTACTGCTATTCCTTGAGGTAAAAGGCTTTCTTGAAGTATGTCTTCAAGTGGTCTTAAAGGTATGTTCAGATAGTACGATAACCTTTGGTTCAGTATGTAATGAATAGCTTGCATGCTCTTCTCCTTCTCCCATGCAAAAGGATGAAGGAAAACAGAGCCTTTTACTTTTAGCTAAACATTGTGTCTTGTGCTGTCTGAACTTCAAAGTGTGGTTAACATTAACTGTATTTAGTTTATTCTGTTTCAGAAACCATGGTCTATAGACATTTTACAGTTAAAATTAACCATAGTTTATTGTTGCAGGCAATGTTGGGTTAACTAAAAGCAAAAGTTTCCAAACTCTTCCATATAGATAATGGGTGAGTGTATGAACTCAAAGCTTACTACTGTGTCAGCCACATAGTACAGTATGGTGCAACATCATAGCTGAATGCATGTGTTGATATACTACCCGAAAACAAAGGAAAATGTTTTGTTTTTTTTAAAAAACCTGATGTACTTGGGATTTCATTTGTCCTCATTAGAAACTTTTTTAAAAATTTGGTTAAAGAAAAAGTTGTTTGTTTATTTGTTTATTTATTTATTTATTTATTTAGGAAGCTTCTATGCTGCCCCATTCGCCGAAGCCTCAGGGCGGCTCACAACAATAAATAAATACACTTTAACCATATAAAACAATATAATTGGAGACGTCCTGACCAAAGATATAAAATCAATAAATAATGTTAACAATTAAAATGACGTTTAAATAAAAAGTTCTTGGCCTGGCACCGAAAAGCAAATAACGACGGCGCCAGGCAGACTTTTCTGGGGAGCCCATTCCATAGATTGGGCGACACTGCAGAGAAAGCCCTCCTCCGGATACTTTGCCTCCTAATGTCCTTCATGGAGGGTTCCCGGAGAAGGGCCTCTCCCGCTGATCTCAAGGGGTGGGAGAGCACGTATGGACGTAAGCGCTCCTTTAGGTAACCAGGATCCAAGCCGTTAAGAGCTTTATAGGTAATAACCAACACCTTGAATTGGGCCCAGACTTCAATGGGGAGCCAGTGAAGCTGACGGAGGACTAGAGTCATGTGAACATAACGCCCAGTCCCCATCGGCAGCTTGGCAGCTCTGTTTTGAACCAACTGAAGTATCCGGACCGTCTCCAAGGGCAGCCCCACGTAGAGCGCATTACAGAAGTCTAGTCGGGAAGTTACCAATGCGTGTGTCACGTTCTCCAGGTAGGGACGTAGCTGATGGATCAGCCGAAGCTGAAAGAAAGCGCTCCTCGCAACCGCTGTTACCTGAGCTTCAAGTGAAAGCTCTGGGTCAAGGAGCACTCCCAAGCTGTGGACCTTGTCCCTAAGGTCCTTGTACTGAACTTCTTAGATTTTCTGTGATCAGTACAAGCTTACAATATTGATTTGTGATGGGGACAGCAATACAAATTAAATATTTAAATAATACCTAGCATATGGCAAATAAAGTGTGTAAACTCAACCTAAACAGAAATCACTGACATTATTGAGTTAATGCATTTTAGAAAGTTCTGAATGCAGCACTAACATTCATAAAAATAGTCTAGATCTGAAGAACTGTAAGTGGAGAGGACTTTTATGCCATTGTTCCAACACAAGTTTGGAAGACAGAACCTTTCTGTAAGTAGACGATAGCTTCTACATGTAAAAGAGCATTTTCTATATTAAACTCAGTAATTTGTAGGGAACTTCTTCTCCAGCTTGTACAACCTGTCTTAGCCTGATTTTCTCTAGTTGTCCTTCTCATTCCTCTCCATTATTCGTTGTCTCTGGTTTTTTCAGAAGTGAAAAGGTAAATTGAAGAATAATACCTAGAATTTTTCAGCAAATTTTGTAGTTCAGTACAAAATGGCATATGAACTAGATTCAGGAGAATACCTCTCTGTGAATAAATAGATTATTAAACACATCAAATACTTCCAAAGCTTACTGCTATACTGTAGCTTATAAATGTTACTATTTTGTTGAAGGACCTGCACCATTTGGTTCCAGCTGGGTGAAACATTACTGCATGTACAAGAAAGAGACAAAGAAGTTTACTATGATACCATTTGAGCACAGGTCAGGAGGGAAAATTGTGAGTACATTCCACATTTCACTGTGCTTCACAACCTGTATCTAAATGCCTATATGAAAGATAAGATGTGCCCTCATCTCTGTGTAGTTCATATTTTTTAAAGAATAGTAATGTAATAATGTAATAATAATGTAATGATTAAACAATAATGTAATGATAAGAATTCTGAAAAAGTTCTGGCATGAGGTTAGAGCAGGGAACATGCTATGCCCAAATGTCCTTATTTTATCTACAGTTTTTCATTCATACCAGAAGGATTTAAATTTGAGTTGAGAAAAACTAGTCAGTCTGGCACAAAAAGTAAATTTATCTGGAAGTTTTTAGTAACTTCACTTTATATTGCAAGCTTTGTGCTTTTCTTTTTTGCAGCATCTGAAACGTATATGCTAAATTATTAGCTTTCAATCAGGGTGCTGTTCAAGGACTGTTTGAGGGAATTAGGGACAGTAGCATTCCATTTTTAAAAATAATATTCTTCCATTCCTCCCTCTCTCCAAGCTTCAGCATAGACTATTTACAGTAAGCCTGGGGAGTTAGAAAATGACTGCCTTTGCATTTCTGTGTCCTCCTAATGATAGGTGTCTTTCCTTGCAAAGTCTGGTATTCCAAAAGTTTATAGTATAAGTAAGGAATTCAGCAAGCTGATGTCATCCCTATTGCAGTTGTGTCTCATTCTGTGGCACCGCAGACCTCCCAGTCTGTATTGATAGAAGTAGATTTGATAATGGTATATTTTGATTCCAAATAGTTTTTGCCATTAATGAATAATTTTATATTAAGAAATGGAATGACAGGAAAAAAGCGAACTTCCATGCATGTCTGCATCCAGAATTTACCATTTTAAACAGAGGCTTCTTATTTGGGTATAACTTTTTTATTTAACAAATTAATAATTGTGGATCCTATTCAAGTTTTCTTACAATGAATTCTCTTCCAGGGTGAACTGGAAGTCTTTCTCCTTAAGTACTGTACGAAAAGGAATACTGATACTATAGACAGGAGGTTTTGCTTTGATGTGGAAATAGTAGACAGGTACGTTGGCCGGGTAATTATTAATATGTTTTCATGTAATGCATTTCACTTCTTTGATTTTTCAAATGTACAGAAGTGAAATAGCTGCCCATCAGGATGACTGTAAATTAGTCAAATATAGTAATTCTTTTGAAAAGGGTTTTTTTAATCTTTTGAGATGATGAAGGGCAGCATATATGTCAACAAGGATTTTTTCAGAGATGAATGCATTGTTATATTTCATTTTGTACTATACATAGGATGAGATAAATTTGAAAGTGAATATGAGTGTTCATTAGGGACTAAAAAAACTAATTATTTCCACTATTTATGCTTATAGGCCTGGTATGCCAGTGACAATGCAGGCATTCTCAGAAGAGGACAGAAATCAATGGTTCGAAGCTTTAGATGGAAAAGAATCAGTAAGAAGAAAACTATCATTATTTTATTAAAAAAGTGAAATGGCAACCCATTAATACTGTGTAGGCCGCACCTCTTATTTCTTTTTGCTGTTAATTTCATGCTTCAGTGCTATTATGTACTATGCTCTGTACAAAACACATCTGACATGATCCCTGAGATACAATCACTGATACAATCTGGCATCATCAATATGAAACATGCTACATGCAAATAATGCTGTCTTTGCAGCACTGGAGCTTGACATAGTCCCATATAACCAGAAATGGAATTACAATTACCCAAAGGGCTGGCCATGTTAGTCTATTGTGGCAGAAATTATCTTGGGGCACCCCAAAGGGTTACACACACACACATTCTCTCTCTCACACATACACACGGCATATACTTTTATAGACCAGAATCCACCTAGTTATTTTAGTTGGTAGGTACATATAATGGGAAAAAATGTATGCAATGAGGACAAAGGGTCAGCAAATTCTTCTTCTAGGAAGAAGACAAACTTTATGTATAACAGTGTTGAGCATAAGCAGATATTAGGGTTATCTGATGCTTAAGATTCCTTGTGCTGTTAAACCTTTTTTATTACATTTGACTGAACTTACACATGAGAAAGTTTGTTATGTTTGTGACTAAATTAAATCTTACATATTAGAGTAACAGAGAGTATAGTATTAAAGGTAAAGTATACAAGGACTAGCTGTTTCATGAAATACTTATAGTATTCTACCAATACTACAGAGGAGTTGCAGTTCCTGTTTTGATCTGGTCTGTGATGTGTATGGAAATAAAAACTCAGGATATTGTATCACTGCATTTATATCCCATTTCTTTATTCTATATTGTAATTTGATAGAAGGTACCGAAGATTATTTACTCTTGTGTTTACCTTCCATTGCTGGTCAGGTTGTATAATCTGCATTCAGTAAGCAAAAGGACTGTGGCCAAGATAGTCACTGCACCTCACTATGAAGTTTGGGTCTATTTTTTTAAGGTGAAAAGAACAGTATTTATATATAAATTCCTACAGCTCTCTACACAATTTAGCCTAGCATAATATTCCCACCACTCTCTCCAACCACTTCAGCTAGGCTGTAGTACGATATTGAGTGTTAACAACAGTTATCCAGTTAGTCATTCCTTTCTGCTTGACCCAGCTGTGGGAGATGCAAATTAAAGTCCTGCAACAGACACATGTAAAAAAGTGACCCAGGGCAAGGATCCAAGTTCTTTAGAATAAGTTTACTTAGCAAAGAATTTATTTGATTGCTTTATTAGAGTGATAACAAATAGGAATGTTGGTGAGGATAAAGGAATGGGGGTGGCGCATAATACAGTAGTGAGAAAAGGGTAGAAGGGGCTAGAAGTTTTCAAGGTTATGTGGAATATGATGGCATTTCATATCGCCTTTGCTTGCTGTTTGATTAGGGATCAACAATTGAGGGGCCGACCCTGTTATTTATGTTTCTGTGTAGATGATCATGGTAAGCTAATCCTATTCCTTTGAGTATATTTTATTACTATTGAAGCAAAATCTTTTAAACATATGGAAATGGAGCAAGCTGGAAAATGACAAGTTAAATGACCTGACTGGTATTTTGTTTCAAGAAAGCTTTATTTCTTTTTAACAGTCTACTTTTCATCTTTAGGGGGGAATATACGGATTCATCTTTCACCCCCTTTTTAAGCTGGCTATTGTGAATGCTCTTACATGTTTAACTTTCTTTGTTAGGTATTCCTCAGTTTCAACAGGACTAACACAAAAAGGGAAGGAAGTGAGTACTTGAGTTAACATTGACATTTTATTAAAACTGTGTTGGAAAACATGAGCTGAAATTCCAAAAATCATGTAAAGCTCCAACTTTCTGTCAGAAAGAAGTGTTTTCTAGCCCCCACAGATACAGAAATACATTGTAAAATGTGAATGTAGAAAACAAATTTTTGTGTGGCTCTTAGTGGCAAACTGTGTGTCCTCTCTCCGAAGAGATAATGGCTTGGACCCAGGCGTGTACAAGTAGAAGCCTTTTGTTCCCTGTGCCCTCCAAAAAGACATTCCTGAGGATTTGGAGATCCTCTGGAGAGTCCTGGGATATTATGCAGGGGCTGCATTTAAAGGGGCAATAAGAAAAAGCCTATAAGAGTGCTTCTATAAAGATATAGGCAGCTGCAGTGTGCAAGAGAGCCCCATGCGCAAGCAGCTTCTGTGCATGAAAATACAGTATTAAAAAAATGTATGTTCAGAGATCATGTCAAGCCATGGTTTGATGTTACATGAGCAAATTCTGGGGTTAAAAGCTCTTTCCTCTTATCTCCACTTGCACCCTTTTGCTGTATTCTTATTTTATCTCTTTGGCTTGGACCACACGAGTAAACCTTAGTTTGTCAATTCAGATGTAATAGCAGATGTAGAAATACGGAAGATGCAAGAAGAGAGGGGATGAAAGAACATATGAGCCTCTTCTTGTAAAGTTCAAACACAATTTGGCATTAAGTATGAACTGAGCCATAAAATTGAATCCTGTAGTTACTTAATTTTTTAAAACAACATTTAAAGGAAAAAAACAGTGATAACTGAATAGTTAATCATAACAACATTTTGAAAGGTAATAGCAGAAATAATATCCCATATGTTATTGCATTTGAAATATTTTAAATTTGTTTTTCTTCTTAGATGCACAGTTGGACAAGATTGGATTCACGATTATCAAAAAATGCATCCGTGCTGTTGAAACAAGAGGTAATTACAGACTTAGCCAAGTGTTGTTTTTCATGAAGATTCATGAATTGAGCAAAGAATGTGGTTTAAAAATGGCACATCACTACAGCTATAGTGAGACTTCTAGTATTATTGAGAGCACATTTGGGGCAAGGGAGGAACAGCTTCTGTGAAACTTTGCCCTTTCATGAATGTCTACTTAAGGTTTGACATTTTTCTTGCCATGACCATCTTTGTAAGGTAACAAGTAAATGCTGAACATAGTGTAGGGAAATGAGTAAGAATGTTTAGGCAGGAGGAACTATTAAAGCATTTTTCATAGTTACTCACAGCATTCATAGAAACAGAAAATCATAGAATAGTAGAGTTGGTAAAGGACAAGAAGGCCATCAGGTCAACCACCTGCAATTGCAGGTCATGAATTTACATGAATTCAGATGACTGTCCAGTTTCTTTTTGAATTTCTCTAGTGCAGGATAGCCCACAATCTTTCTAGGGAACTAGTTCCCTGTTGCATTGCTGTGACAGTGAGGAAACTTTTCCTGATACCTAGTCTGAATCTGGGTTGTTGCAACTTGAGTTGATTATTCTGTGTCCTATATTCTAGTATCAGAAAGAAGACCTTCCTTTTTGTGGCAACCTTTGAGGTACTTCTAGAATGATATAATGTTCCCCTCAGTCTTCTCTTCGCAAGGCTAAACATATCCACTTCTCTCATTCTCTCCTCATAGGTTAGTGTCTTCAAATCCTGGATAATTTTTGTTGCCCTCCTCTGGACCCTTTCTAATTTTTCTGCACCTTTCTTAAATCTTGGTGCCTAGATTCCAAAGGAGGTTTAGCTGATGAGGAGTATAAGAGAACTACTTCTTCTCTTAATTTGGATGTAATACGTCAGTTAATGCATCTCTATCTATCTATCTATCTATCTATTAAAAGCTTTTCTATCCCATCCCCTACAGAAGGTCTCAGGATGGCTTACAATTTGCTCTTTTTGCAGTTGCATCACATTGTTGGCTCCTATTTAGTCCGTTGTCCTCAATAACTCCAAGGTGGTTTTCTTTCAGTTTTGCTGAATCATGTATTCCCCATCTTGTAACTATGCATCTGGTTTCTTTTGCCTAGGTGGAAGACTTGGCACTTGTCCCTAGTGAATCTCATTCTGTTGTTTTCAGCCCATTGTTCAAGTTTTATCAAAATCTCCCTGGATCTTCATTCTGTCTTCTAGGGTGCTTGCTATTCCATCCAGTTGTGTATTGTCTGCAAGTTTGATTATCTTTCCTTGTACTACCTTATCTAAATCATTAATAAAGATGTTGAATAGTACGGGCCTAGGACTGAGGCCCTGCAGCATTAGTTGCCTCCTCCTAGTTTGAGAAGGTGCGATTGAGCAATCTTTGTGTCTGATTTAGCAACAAGTTTTGGATACCCCTAATAGTTTCTCTTGTCCACTTTTTGCTAATTTGCTTATCAGAATGTCATGTGGCACTATGTTGAAGGCTTTGCTAAAGTTGACGTTGATTATGTCCACAGTGTTCCCTGTGTCTGTTTGGAAGTTTGCTCAGTCAAAAAAATTAAATTAATCTGATAGGATTTATTTTTATACATCCATGTTGGCTTCTATTAATCACTACATTTTCTTCAAGGTGCTTGCAGCCCAATTTTTAAATAATTTGCTCTAGAATTTTTCCAGGGATTAATGTCAGACTAACTGGTCTGTAGCTCCCAGGTTTGTCTTTTTTCTCTTTTTTCCAAGATGGGGACAGTGTTAGTCCTTTTCCAGTTGTCTAACACTTTTCCTGTTTCCCAAGATTTAATGAAGATAACAGACAGTGGTTCTGAGATTTTCTTGGCTACCTCTTTTATGTCTCTGTGATGGAGTTCATCAGATGCTGGAGATCTAAATGTGTTTCTTTACCGGCCAGGATGCAGGACCGGTTTGGCCCGCCCCCTCACATGGGTGAGAGCCGTGTGGGACAGGGCGGGACTTCGGGAGGGCCCTGCAGCCTTAAAGCGCCGGCGGCAGCCGGGAGAACCAGCGCGCTGGACGGAGCACACCTCCCCCACGCTGCAGGACCTTTGCGCACCCATTGGCTGCACGCACCCGCCAGCTGCCGCGCCACCCAACGGAGGCCAGCACCACCGGCCCAGGAGCACCGGCCAGGACGCAGGACCGGTTCGGCCTGCCCCCTCGCACGGGTGAGAGCCGTGTGGGACAGGGCGGGACTTTGGGAGGGCCCTGCGGCCTTAAAGCGCCGGCGGCGGCCGGGAGAACCAGCGCGCTGGACGGGGCACACCTCCCCCACGCTGCAGGACCTTTGCGCACCCATTGGCTGCACGCACCCGCCGGCTGCCGCGCCGCCCAACGGAGGCCAGCACCACCGGCCCAGGAGCACCGGCCAGGACGCAGGACCGGTTCGGCCTGCCCCTTCGCACGGGTGAGAGCCGTGCGGGACAGGGCGGGACTTCGGGAGGGCCCTGTGGCCTTAAAGCGCCGGCGGCGGCCAGGGCCGGCAGCCTCAGGCCAGCGGCCGAAGGGTGACGGCCAAAGGGTGGTCTCCACCTTTTGGGAGCCGTTTGGGGGCCGAGCGGGGGGCTGGGCTAGCCAGGGGCTTTTGTTGTAATTGGCCCACCTGCCGTTGTGAACGTTAGGGAAGGGGGAGTTTTTAATTGTTTTTATAATTTTATTCTATTTTAATCTGTTTTTATGGAGTCGTCCCTGGCCATGTCGACGTTTATGTTTCCTGGGGAGCGTGTGGGCGCCGCCATTGGGGTGGTCTTGGGCAATGGACGTAATAGTGGTGGGGGCTTAACGTGTCCGCGTAGAAGAAGGAGGGACAGATGGTTGACACCTATCCCTCCTTCTGGTTTTGCCCCCAGCCAGAGGGTGCCAGGTAGTCTTTTCAACCACCCCTCGGGCCTGACAGTGCTGCTGCTCAATGCCAGGTCAGTCAATAATAAATCTTCCCTCATCCGTGACTTGATTGTGGATGAGGGGGCCGACCTGGCTTGCATAACGGAGACCTGGGCAGGAGAGGGGGGGATGTTGCCCTCTCTCAACTGTGCCCGCCCGGGTATCTGGTTCAGCACTGTTCACGCCCGGAGGGGAGGGGAGGGGGGGTCGCTTTGGTCTACCGAACGTCCATCTCACGGGACTTCCGGTCCCTTCGAGACCAGGGCTGGACTGCCTCTACTTGGTGTTGGGCGACCGAGACAGATTGGGGATTCTGTTGGTGTACCGTGCACCCTTCTGCCCAACAGTCTCCCTGCCTGAGCTGACGGAGACCGTCTCGGACCTGGTGTTGAGGACCCCCAGGATGTTGGTCCTGGGGGACTTCAATCTCCATGCCGAGTCTGGTCTGACCGGGGCGGCTCAGGACTTCATGGCCTCCATGACGGCCATGGGGCTGTCTCAACATGTCTCCGGCCCGACCCATGAACGTGGACACACTCTGGATCTGGTTTTCTCGATGGGGCAGGAAGAGGGTAGTCTGAGGGTGAGGAATTTATGCTTGACTCCCCTGTCATGGTCAGATCACTTCCTGGTGAGGTTTGTGCTTGAGAGCGACCTCTCCCTCTTCAAGGGTGCGGACCCGATTGTGTGGGTCCGCCCCCGGAGCCGGATGGATCCGGATGGATTCCTGAAGGCCCTGGGGGAGTTTCCGGCTGACAAGACTGGTGCTCCTGTCGAGGCTGTGGTCAAACTGTGGAACGGGGAGATGACCAGGGCTGTGGACACGATTGCTCCTAAGCGTCCTCCCCCACCGGGCAGAGCCCGCTCTTCCCCTTGGTATACACCTGAATTGCGGGCGATGAAGCAGGTTGGGAGACGGCTAGAGCATAGGTGGAGGAGATCACGGGATGAATCTGACCGAACACACTTGAGAGCCCACTATCGGGCCTACGCTGTGGCGGTGAGGGCGGCGAAAAGAGGTTTTTTTCCCGCTTCCATTGCCTCCTCACAATGCCGTCCGGCGGAGCTTTTTCGAATGGTGCAAGGCCTGGTTCGTCCGGGTCCTAAGGAAGATCGGGTTCCACCCTCAAAGGCCCGCTGTGACGACTTTGCCATGCATTTCAGGGAGAAAATTACTCAGATTCATCACGAGCTGGACACCACTAGTGAATCAGAGGTTTCTGGGGAGACGCCAATGCTGCCGTCTGGTCCAGAATTATTGGATGAATTTCAGTTTTTGCAGCCCAATGATGTGGACAAGGTGCTTGGACGAGTACATCCCACCAATTGCCTAATGGACCCTTGCCTGTCTTGGTTAATAAATAACGCCAAGCACGGGATTGGGATCTGGATCTTGGAAGTGGTTAACACTTCTCTGAGGTAGGGTCGGGTGCCTGCCCCTTTAAAGGAGGTGGTAGTCCGACCGGTCCTGAAGAAAGCGTCACTGGATCCAGAGATGGCCACTAACTATAGACCAGTGGCCAACATCCCGTTTCTGGGCAAAGTGTTAGAGCGGGTGGTGGCGGGACAACTGCAAGCACTCTTGGATGAAACTGATTATCTAGACCCATTTCAGTCCGGCTTCAGACCCGGGTACGGTACTGAATCTGCCTTGGTCGCCCTGTACGATGACCTGTGCAGGGAGAAGGACAGGGGGAGTGCGTCCCTGTTGGTTCTCCTGGACCTCCTGGATCTCTCAGCGGCTTTCAATACCATCGACCATGGTATCCTTCTGGATAGGCTAGCGGGATTGGGGGTTGGAGGCTCTGCACCATTTTGTCCCCTTTGCTGTTTAACATCTACATGAAACCGCTGGGAGAGGTCATCAGGAGGTGTGGGCTGCGGAGTCATCAGTACGCTGATGATACCCAGCTCTACCTCTCGTTTTCCACCAATCCAGGTGAGGCAGTGGCTGTGCTGAACCGGTGCCTGGCCGAGGTAATGGGCTGGATGAGGGCCAATAAACTGAAGCTCAATCCAGACAAGACGGAGGTCCTGTTGGTTGGCGGATCGGGCTTCGGAGAGGGTGGATTTAACCTAGTCCTGAATGGGGTTGCACTCCTCTTAGGGA